TACAAATTACACTCTATTTTAAATAATTAATGTTTAATAATAAGCACCTAAAAGAGTATTTTGACTTTTCAGAATTGAATAGTTGAATTCACAAAGTCAAATTTGAATAGTTAAATGAACTTTCTATTCTTTAAAAAGTTACATATGTAAAATAAATGATGAGAATAAATCAAGAAATACTTCGCAAAAAGAAAAATGAAGAACCAAAATAAATAGCATTGTTGGAGTGTTAAAAGAATTTATTCATAAAAAACGCTGTCTATTATGCATAACATGCTCTTTACAAATAGAGAATCTATTGGAAATGTTCAAAATTGGATGAATATTTATAGTAATTAGCTCTATTCTTAGGATCGATTTGGCATAATTTCTACTTTTACTTCTATTTCTTCTAGAAGAGCTCATAAGGAAGTTATCTAAGACAACTTGCTCTAAAAGCCATTCTAGCCAAAAAAATACTTTTAAAAAAATTATCCAAAATGTGTTAAACCAATAGCTTCTTAATCTAAAAAAATAATTTTAACTTTTCAAAAGTCTTATCAAACAAACATTTAATAGTTTTGATGAAGAATGTCAATTCGGCTCATCAATTTAGGCCCATGATCGAGACTCATTTTTAGGCGACAGCCTGAGTTAGCCCAATTGGCTTGACTTTCGAATGAACCTTTAATAGTTTTAAGTGGAAATTACACCGCACCCTAATTTAAAAATTCAGAATTCTGAAATGATGTTTCACTGTTAAAAATCAAATGTTTTATTAATTGTTCAATCCTCATTTTCTCTTACTACACTCTCTCTGCCTTCTCTCTTTTTCTGTTCAAAATCGCAGCTCCGTCCAGAAGAAGGTAATCGTTGGCACACTACGATAGCACTGCGCGTCGGCGCATAGGCCGATGCTACCCACAACACCTACGTGCCTTGCACGAAGCTGGTTGCAGCGCCGTGTCACTCCGCTCGTGCAACGGTACAGATCTACTATGCCCACCACACCTGCTAGAAGCAATGACGATTGTGAGCATAGGCCAAGTCATAGGTTGTTGCGCAGGTGTTGATGATGGAGGTAACTAAGCAACAACGCTTTGGTGTTGATGATAGAGGTGATCGAATTCGCCGTGCAACGCCGTGCGTGGGGAATATTCCAGTGCCCAAGCGGCATTCTGGTTCTTTTTTTGCAGCGTCGTGCAGGTGCATGGCGTTGTACATCTAGATCTGAGTGGCACTGCATTTTTATTTTTCATTTTTTTTATGTTGTGGGTGTAAGGATGACTGGATGGTTGTGACGTGGTGGTGGTGGAGGCACCGTTGGTGTTGATGATGGTGGTCGCACCGCGTAGAGTAGAGTTGGTCTGCTGAATGGTGGAGTATGGGTTAGGCTATGTTGGCGACTACAACGATGGTGGTGATAGTGGTTGTGGTGAGTTGCCGGCCGTGTTAGCGGCGATAGCGAAGTAGGGTTAGCGTGGTTGAGATGGTGGTGGTGGTGGTGGTGGTAAGGTAGGGATGTCTAACGGGTCGAGCGGCTTGTCGGCTCTGCCGCTCGGCTCGTCAAAACCCGGCTCGTGGGCGGCTCGAGCTCGTGACGAGCCCGAGCCCGAGCCGAGCAAGGGCTCAATCCCACGAGCCGAACCTGTTCGACTCGTCGACCCACGAGCCGAGCTCATAAAAAAATATTAAATTTTTTTAAAAAAATGTCCAAAATGTGCAAAATTACAAAAATTAAAAAATAAAAAAATCACGAGTTCACGAGCCACTCGTGAGCTCGGCTTGGCCCGCGAGCTAGTGGCTCGTGAGCTCACAAGCTCACCCCCGAGCAACGAGCCGAGCTCGTGGGTTAAAGGGCCGCTCGGCTCATTGCCATCACTATGGTGAGGTAGTACTATATAGTGTTTGTAACCAATGAATTGGTTAATTTGTGACCGATAAAATATATAATTTGTGACCAATAAATAATATGTGAATTAAAAAAATGTGGGGTTGTGACTAAATTTATAATCGTAACTTACAATTTGTTAAAATGTAACTAATTAAATTGATAATTTGTGACCGTGAAATACATTGTGACTTATAAAATTTGTGACTCGTGATCGAAAGATAATATGTGACTTATTATTTAAATAAATTGTGACCTATAAAATTTGTGATTTGTGATCGAAAAATAATGTTTGACCAATTAATTTGAGAATTTGTGACCTATAATCAAGCAACTGTGATAAAAAATTATGTAATATTGTGATCAAAATATATTATATTATCAATCATAAATAAATTTTAATAAATATCTGGTTTTTGAAATTTGAAACATTTATTCTTAGTTTTAAAATGAATAATACTTAACATCTTAGTTATGAATTTTCCCCTAATTTTAAATAAGGATGTCAATTCGGCTCGTTGACTTGGACAACCCGTGATCGAGACTCATTTTCAGGCTAGTCTAGCCACATGGGCCCTGAAGCAGGTAATTGTAGGCTTACTGCCTGCTTTTGCAAATATAGCTGTAAAAGCAATTGTATCACCACAAACTAAAAATATATATATATATATATATATATATATATGCTGGCTCAATTTTTTGCATAGCCGAGTCGATTTTTGCTCGGGCAGCACCCGATTCTCTAGCTTCGACTAACATGTTGACTCGATCCAACTCGTTTACCTTCCTAGTTTGAACTAAGAAATGAAAGTAAAAAGTAGGATTGGGCCTAGTTTTCCTCTAAGAAGGGGATCTATGGATAGCCCAATTATGTCTTTTTGGAGTAATCCATGAGTGCATATCCAACTATAAATAGCCTAGTGAGATCCTTTAGGTGTAACTATGAGCAAGGCCAGTATTAAAAAGCAATAGAAAATGAGAAGTGGCTATGCGTTTTCACTTTTCCTTACTATTGCACTGAAAATTATTAGCGACAAATTACATATCAGCATAATAATAAGGAAGCATAAGATTCTTGGAGAAAAAAGGGAAAGACTCTCACAATGTTGCTGAAATCAATGGAGAGAAGTTGAGGGGGTATTGGAGCTCTAACGACAATATGTTTAAACCAACATGATTATCTAGCAGGTCCTAAAAATCAGAGCAATATGAAGATTTATCAGTTTCGGCTAATATGGAAGATCCTAATGTAAAGGTGTAAAAAAAAAAAAAAAAAGTAAATCCAAAATATGAGGACCATTTGTACCAGATTTTATGGGATTCATTTTTCTGTATTATTAGCTTAAATACGCCTATTGTAATGTCTAATGGTTCAAGTTGCCAATTATTGAATAACAGACATATCAATTTAAGCTATCGTCTTCCTCCTTTTTATCTAAAATTGGGGACCAATTTGCTTTGAAGGAGAGGTAGAAAGGAGCAATCGCAATTTCATCTTGTGCTGCTGTGATTTTCGATCTTCTACTTCATCAAACTTTCATAGTAGTTGCCATTATCAGTTACAAGGAAAGGGGCCGATCCACTCCTAAGATTCTGTGCAGCCTTGTCACTATTCTCTTCTTCTAACTCCTTGGAGAATTTTTTTTTTTTTCACAAACTTCTTGTTTCTTGATGGTAATCTTCCTTACACAAAGGGATTTTCTTTACAATACTTCTCTTGAATTTTGATGTGGTTGTTTATATCAGGTTTTCTTGTGGGCTTTGTAATTGGCTGCGTCTCAATTAATTGATGAAAGAATTATGTTATCTAGTACTAATAGTGTTGAACGTTAATTTATGCGTCATCAAATCATAGGTTTTGTTAAATAGGCACAATTCTTTATATTTAATTGAACTTTTAACTTAATGCCATTAATATTGCATTATCCTTGACGAAATGGCCAGGACCAAAATCCAGTGGGAGCAACTGCCCTGACTAGACCCAGGTAGCTCTGCGCTTTATTTGAATGGCAAAGAATATTTGTTTTAAGAGACCACCTGCTTTGCCTCCGAACTTCTCATTTCACAAACATAATTCCCTCCAAGCCATTTTCCCTTTTTAAAACTCTTTATGTTGTAACATGAAAATAAAATAAGTTTTAACTTTGAAAATTAAAAACTTTTAATTTTTGGGTTTTGATTTAATTCCTCAATTTTATTAACATAAAATTAAAATATCATAATATTTGTAACTCATAATTTTGGATTAATTGTGGGGGTTGAAATTTGTCCATATAAAAGAGTGTGGTTTTCATTGAAATGGGTACTTTGATTCTTGATCGCAAAAGTTATTTCTTTCGATCTTTATTTTTTTTTACCCATGTTAGATATTGGTATGTACCTCGATTTTGTTCTTTCACCGACAATTAAAATAAGCATGAAAGTTAAAACTTTTATAAATAAGGATATACCCAATGTATCATAACCCATTTCCCATGGATAAAGAAAGACGTTTCCATTAGCCCCTCATAGAGTAGTTGAGTTGGTAGAGTAGATGAGCGTGAAGGCCTTTGGTCACGAGTTCAATTCCTCCTACCAATACTTTCTCGTTCGAGCTTGTTGCATAGGGTTTGTCTAGTGTAATTTACCTAATTGGTGTAGTTTGCAGGCTATTATATCAACTCGAAAATTTACCCAGCACACACCCAAAGAATAGCGGTTGCGGGTTCCCCCATCATATATATATATATATATTAAAAAAAAAAAAGGGAAAAACGTTTCTACTTCAGAAACCAAAATATTTGCATGCATTTTTTTTCCCTAGAGGTGGAATGGGCTAGAAATTAAATTCTAGTAAACCTCTGTGTAGTTAATACAACAATCTCTTCATAGTGCGCCTGGTAATGTGTTGTTTAACCTTCTCTTTATTGCTTATAAATATATTGCATTAATTTGGAATTTTTAATTCATTAATTTGGAGAAGTACCTATTTTTCAAGTCAGTTGTTAATGACTGTGGGGGTAGGCCTAATGTCCTCGTAATTAAAAGCACCAAGATCCCAAATAGTTGGCATTTTGTAAACTCTATCGATAAATTTCCTATGCTCAGCTAAATTATATTTTTAATAGATTTGCATATATCTCTTTCTTCCTGGTATTAAGACAAGTAGTTTCAAATATGTTCATCGTCCTTCCCTTAAGGTTAGGGGTAGGAGATCAAAACTTACCGAAGTGGAACAATACCCGCTACAATTGCAGGCTTACAAGTGAAACCAAAGATATGAGGTACACAAATGAATTAATCTTAAAAAATATCTGCAGTTGTTGCTTGGGAGCCATCACTTGATGAGGCCTTCATGGAAGATGAATTTAGTGCAGAAACTTTGGACACGATAGAATGATCATCCTTGGTTTTACCCCATAGCACTAGGTACAGCCTAACCACTATAACAAATCCTCCTACAACCCTGCAATGCCCATGTATAGAATCAAGAAAAAGAAATAATACAACGAGTGAAACAGTAGTATTGAGACAGAGACAAGAAAATTTACTTTCCCAATTCCAATTGCTCTGCTAAAATGAAACTGCTCATACCGGCAACAATCAACATGGTTAGAGGATTAAATGATGTTAAAAACACTGGTCCTTTTTCTTGTAATATATATCCTGAAATATAATAACCAAGTCCTGAACAAAGGATTTCCTGCACAGAACCATGTGTACAAGTTAGGCTCTCCCATATAGATTAAGCCCTGTTTAGTTTAGCTAAAACTCAATTTTTTATTAGATTATGATTAAAGTTGATAAAACGTGTATTTGAAAAGTTGATTAAAAAAATTGTGTTCCATGAAATGTGTATTTGAAATGAGTTTAGAAAATATTCAAAGATTCATAAATCAAATATCTTACTCCGTAGACACAAGCTAATAGTTTAATATCCCAATGTATCGACCAAACTGCAAAATTAATGCCCTTCTCGAACACAACAGATGCTATAAAGCCTTCGATACCCATCACGGCACTTATCATAGCCGTGAGGGAGAGTGAAGCTATGTATGACTCCAATGTTTTTGCCTGCATCCATAAAAATTTTTATTAGTTAAAACTTTCCTGTTTTCTTAGTTTAATTTTGTTTTAATTTTTCTTCAAGTGTCATGTTGGTGCCATCTTTGGAATTATCGGGGCAAAAAGTAGACGAAGTTGGAGAAAATTTCGTTGGACTCTAAGTCGAAGAAACAAGTCGGAGCAACGGCAACAAACCTATGTAGAAGATAAATCAAATATGTTTCACAAGAGAATAACTCCGCAGAGGATTCTTACACATTGGCAGACGATGTTTGCCCCCACTTCAGGGATGCACACACCTAAGCAAAAATGACTCCAGGATAAAAACAAAATATCCTTATAGGATGTAAGTAGTATTTGCATATTTTTCACATATGAAACCAAGAATTTTACTTGCAGATTGTTAAGCAACTTGTCTCAAGAGTTATGATCCTTTACAAGAGTCAAAACTTTGTGTATTTAAAGTTAAATAATCGAATTGGAATGAAAAGACACAACAATCATACAAAACATGAACATGTAGAGTCGGGGGTTCCTGTCTACAAGCATGAGGTGGGCACCCTGGGGGCCTAGTGCATTTGCCCAGTTACTTGGGCTAGCCTCCCAGAAGCCTAACCTGTCCCCGGATGATTCCTAAATGTTTATTTGACTCGTGAAAGTTATTTAGCCCCTTTGATGGCTAAAGAGAAATTAGGGTAAATTGATGTTCTGAATAATGAGTTTTAAGGGAATGCGTAGTTAAAAAATAGAGAAAAATTTTGGGTTAATATTGTGCAGAAAATTGGAACCGGATTAATCCAATAACAATTTATTGAAGAAAATAATATATTATAGGCACAATATAAAATAAAGATCACAAAAACATGGGATTAATGTAATTTGCAGAGAATTGAGTTTTTATTATAATATGGAGAAAGACTACAAATATTTTGTATTTATAATGTTTCTAAATTCTAACGAGCTCAAACACCCATAATTAAATTGTAGAGAATAACCAAATATATATAGAGAACAAACAGGGGACGTCTATTCCCTAATAGTAGAGTTATAGATGGAAAAACATGTTCAAAACGCAACGAAACGCGAAACTAGTCTGGGATGGATAACTATGTCACTCGAGCGTCAAGCGGGTGCTAAGTCTCTATTGAAATTTTGACGACGTCGATTGGGACACATATGAAAATTGTAAGCTTTATTAAGAATCAAAGTCTCGTCAAGTTTTGAGTTGTAGTCAAACATAAGTAAAAGTTCTTTACTACTATTAGGATTTTTTGCAATACTTGCTTCCCCTAAAATTTCTAATTACTGATATATAGTCAATTTTGCTTTATTCTGCAACATGTAACAATCATTTATCAATTGCCCCTTTTTTCTTGCAATAATTACAGATTTTAAGGTTAGATTTTGACTTGCCCCTTGTACAACCACTATCAATAATGAGGTTATCTCCATGAACCTCAGATGCGACAAGATTCTTCATCTTTTTCGTTGAATATAGAGCATCATAGACTTTTTTTTATGGTGAGAGTATCATGACTATGTAAAATCGTGTCTCAAAAGACATGTATAAAGCGGGCAATGAACACAGTAAAAAATCAATTTCAAATCTTTATCATCATGTTTGACCTCTAAGGTCTCAAATCAGTGACGATTTCCTTAAAAGTAATTAGGTGATCCTCAAGAGATGTACCTTCTATCATAATATAGACGTTGCTTCAGATGTAATTTGTTAGTGAGACTCTTCGTCATGCATAATTGCTCTAATTTTGACCATAATGCAGTGATTGACTTCTTTTTCAAAATGTCTTGAAGAATATTATGTGAAAGATGAAAATATATTTGAGATAGGGCATTTTGACCCTTCTGTTGTTTCTCTTTCGAAATCCAAGTTGTAGGCTTCTTGTTAAGACCCAACAACACGTTGTCCAAATCCATCTAAGCGAACACTGCTCGCATTTTTACCCGCCACAAAAAGAATCTCGTATTGCAATCTAATAGCGGAATATCATACTTCATAGTTCATAGTTGCTATCACGAAAGATCAAGTTGAGCTCTTAACTTGATCACCTCAATCTTTCCAAGAATTACAAAACAAAATGCTCTGAAACCAATTTGTTGTGTGAAAAATTGGAATCGGATCAATCCAATTCCAATTGTTGGAGAAAATACGATATAATAGTCATAATATGAAATAAAGATCACAAAAACACAAGAATAATGTAATTTGTAGAGAATGGAGATTTTATTATAATACGGAAAAAGAATACAAAATTTTTGTGTTTACAATGTTTCTAAATTCTAATGAGGTTAAACAACATTAACTATATCGTAGAGAAGAGTTAAATATATGTAGGGAACAAATAGAGGATGTCCAAATTCCAACAGTAGAGTATATATGGAAAGGAATGTTCAAAACTCATCGAAATGTGAAACGGGCCTGGGTTGAATAACTATGCCGCTCGAGCGCCAGGCGAGTGACAGCTTCGTCGCTCGGGCACCACTCGTGCACTAAATCTCTGTTGAAATTTTGACGACGCAGCTCGAGCGCCAAGCTAGTGACTACCTTTCTCCTTGGCCCATAATTTGATCTCTTAAGCCCAACACAAATTTTAACTTTTAATCGGGCTTCCAACTAGAACTTCAACTAAAATTTGAAAAGTAAACTTCGAATATGATTCCAAATAACATTTCAAATATGACCTTATTTCTAACCGTTTACATATAAAATATTTTATTGTGTTAAAATATATGATTACAAATGAATATGAAAAATAAAGAGTTTTAATTTAAAGAGAGTTAAACATGGGTTTAATGGTGTTCCGAAGTAACAATATTTGAATTTTTCCTACAATTTTGCTATTTGTACATGACACCCCCTCATAAGAGGCGGGCTCCACACGTAATAATAGCATCATTCTTTTTTCTAATATGCCACCGTGGGTTGGAATTAAAATGATTATAAATGATTGTTGACTGAATGTATCCTAGAAGTCTATTTTTGTGCGGGATAGTAGCAATTGAATAATGCTACTTACACATAACCACATTATATAATAATTTACATATAGATGAAATGTCAAGAAGGGATTGATAAATTTTGTTTTTTTTTTAATTTTGTTAAAGAAATTTTAATTTAATTATATCTCACCACATTATGTGTATGTAACTATTATGTACATATACCGCAACCAATAATAATTTGCAGATAAATGTCAAATGAGGAGGGATTAGAGAAAGATTAGAGTGAGACAATTCAACAATTGCAACTTTCCTTCCAATCAACGTAAGTTAAGTATTACCACAAAAGTTCCCACGCACACCAATTCATACATATAGAATCGAAGTTGTATAACGTGCTCAAAGTTGGTCATATTTGGGCTTTGCTTTAAGAACATCAAATTTTTATTGTCAAACGACCACGGCTCGATGAATTGGAGAAATAAACTTTAGCCTACTTGTATTCTGCATTCAGCTTCACTAATTATTCATAATTAAAATATTAATTTAACCATTATTAATAGAATTAAGATTTTTTTATGTTTCCGTCTAAGATCTGTTGGTATCTTACGTCTTTTTAAATTTTTTTAGTATTGTTTTGTCGAGTACAAAATTCGTACCCATTTGATTAGCTTCTTCAAAACTACAACAGTGGTTATCATCTAAATTAAGTCCCCGTTTGATTCTCATTCCACAAAAATGAAAAATATGATCGCTATCAATTACATCAAGCTACCATATTTGACTCTCTATTTCTTGTGTGGATCCCATAAAGGAACGCGTATTGTCTATATTATATATATGACGACCGTTCTACCGAAATTTGACAAGGAAAATGAGATAGTTCTGCTGATAGGAAGTTTTTATAATTTTTAGAAAACAAAGGTAGCATTGTCAGGAAATTAATGTCAATATCACAAGCATGAAACATTGACGAAACATTTGACACATCGGACTAGACTAAAAGTATATAAATTAGCATGTAAATATAATGGATAATAATAGATAATTAATACTATGGTATTTTAAGGTGAATAATGTTCTTTAGTTTTTCATTTAAAACATAGTTATTTGCTCTATCAACCATATTACATAATAAGAAGGTTAAAGTGGGCCCCCGGGGCACTTCTCCACTGGCAAAGGACGGGCTCTTTCAATGTTGGCAGATCAGAGGTCGTGAGTTCGATTCATGGGACTCTTGGAAGGCAATGATTTATTCTTGGAAGGCAAGAGAAATTTTGGAAGGCAAGGTGCAACTTGAATTGGCTTGCTAGGCACTTTGGCAGATCAAGTTGAGGAGGGCTCGGACCCTGGCTAGTTGGAGGTACATCCCGCGATTAACTGGACTGTGTGAAGAAGGGCCGGATCACAGACCCAAGGATTAGTCAAGAATTGGACACCTTGTAAAAAAAAAAAAAAGGAAAAAAAAGGAAAAAAAAAAAGGTTAAAGTGGATTTAAGCCGAACAAGGACGATAAAGTAAATAATATTCTTTTGAGTGAAAAATCAATAAAACTTATTCAACTTAATTCAGCATAATACCATCTATCTAATAATTTTGTGCTAATTTTTATTTCGATCTAATCCGATGTATCGATCATGTCCTCAAAATTTTAGTTCTCTCTTAACAATCGTCTCTTCTACATTGATCTGTTCAGCAATTGAAAAAAGAATTACAATTTTTTTAATTTTTTTTTTCACTAGCTGGCTCGGGCCGGGCCGGGCTCAGTCAGCTTCCTAAAATGGGCTTGGGCTTTTCCTGGGCGGAGCCACGGATCGTTCGAGTCGATGAGCCAAGTTTACATCCCTACCTACAATACCCAGCCCAAACTGGACCAATAAAAGCAACCCGACTGGGCCTGTAGCTATAACATGGGGACTGAATTGACTCGGGCTTTTCCGGGGCCGAGCCACGGGTCGTCCGAGTCGATGAGCCAAATTTACATTCCTATCTACAATACCCCGCCCAGACCGAACTGATAAAAGCAACCCCGACTGGGCCTGTAGCTATAACATGGGGACTGAATTAGTATAGGAATGATCGGCAAAAATCGTCGGGCTATATTAGTATTAAAAAATAAATACATTGAATTTGATATTCTAAAGGCCGACGTCGGGTTGCTGACGGCACGCTCTATCCATTTTCCTTAAATTCCCACATATCTCTCTCTCTCTGAAATATCAATTCAACTTTAAGAAAAATAATATATATTGTAAACAAGCTTAAAAAGGTTGCTCATGATAAAGGTGGCAGCTGAGACAAAAAAGGAAACTCTAAATACATACCTGAATAACGTTAAAACTGGCCGCAAAAAAACAAGCTCCAAAGATCATGAGGGGGCCTCTAAAGGAATTTTGGTGATAATTTGCAGCACTTGTGGGTTTGTGTTTGGTCCATGGCAATCCGATAAGAGGTCCTTTGACGAATGTCATTGCCAAAACTCCACCAACACAGACAAAAGTTCCAATAACCTTTGCCAGGCCGTGTAAGCTTCTAAATTTCACCTTCTCAAGCCTGCAAAAATAGAAGTACACAAATACATGCGTGTATTAATTTTAGCACAGGAAATGAAATACCTAGTTAGGTACAAAGGAAGAAAACTTAAGAACACTTAATACTATTTTAATTCAATCGTTGATCGGACCCGAATCAGGTGAAATGTGTACCTCAACAGTAAAGACAACAGAAAGTTTATGACAGGAAGAAAGTTGTAGATTGTTGTTGCAAAAGTTGCTGTTGTATGCTTCATTCCAGCATAGTACAAGTTTTGATCAAGAACCCTGCAACAAAAAGATATTTTGATGCAGATATATGTATGTGCAATAACATATATACAGAAAATTCATTAGAGGCTTTGAGCTAATCTAGAATCAGTAACCAAAGAGTACTATATCCAATCATACATATTCTCCTTGAATTACCCTAATAAGCCAAGTAGAAAGATCTTGAAGAGGATGGGGAGTGTCATCCTTGGCCTTGTATTCCTGTCAAAATTATTAAATTTTTGGTTTAGAGAGAAATACATGAAGCGCTTGTGTCTGTGTGCGTTGTGGGGAAAGAGACCGACAAACCTTTCGAATGCTAATCCGAAAGGACCAAAGACAACGGCGGCAATCACATTCCTGTAGACAGTAAAGATGTAATGGCTCATTCCCAGGTTTAGAGCATGCTTTGCAATTGTAAATAAACCTGCGAAAACAAAACGTAAGAAAATAGCAGCCATATATGGCTTTGCTTTTTTCAGAAAAATGCTTAAGAAATCCATTTCCAGTTAAAATGGTCTCTGAGTTTAATTTCTCTCTCGAGTCTTATTGTTTCTAGAGGCAATGTGATGAGGACATCCTTATAGTTGGACTTTTATTATTGTTTCAGTATTTTAGTTGGACTTTTATTATTGTTTCAGTTGGACTTTTATTTAAGTTTACGTATTTTAATTAGGACTTAAATAATGGGCTTGGCCCTATATTTCTAGGTTTTTATTATTTAAACCTATCTTGGTTTGTAATTTTTAGTTGATGAATTGATTAAGAATTATAAAATTGGCTTGTGGCCGTTTTCTCTCCTCTTCCCCGCCTCTGTCCTTCTTCTTCTCTTCTCTTCCCCTCCCCCATCCCTTCTTGTTAATTACTGATTTATTAATCTCCCTACATCAAATTGGTATCAGAGCAAACCCTGGAGAGCAATTCACGCACCATCAATACCAAAACCCTTTGCTGCAGACAACATACTAACTTGCAGAACCCAGTTCTCGTTTCAGCAGAATCCAGTTTCACGCCTCCACCTCCCCAACCGCCATATAGTACACCTGTTTATCCAACTCGTCCACAGCAACCATAACCTGCAACAAACCCCCCACATCATATTCTCCACACTTCAAACCGGCTACTGCAAAATTCAAAATCGCCTCCTGCCCGTAGCTGTTGAATATCAACTGTACCACGACACCTATATAAACTGCTACAAACAGTAACCACCCCACACACAATCTACTAAGCCACCAGAAACTACCAGCAAAGGCAGCACCCTACTGCGGTCACCTCATCGACGGCGCTGCTTGCTTCATGCTTCACCCCTGTCGACACCCAACAATCACCCAACCACAAGACTGCCGCAGCCAAGTGCGCGACCCAAGGCGTTGCCGCCAGTAGACCGGCGTCCCACAGTTTGACACTCTCCTTCGAGTTTACGCATCCCAGCCGCCGACTCCCATTGCAATCAGGTGTGGGTTATGAGTTATGGTTAGGGGTTAATTGGCTTAAGAATTACGTGGGTTGGGTTATTGATTATTAGTTGGGTTTGGGTTAATTGGTTTAATAATTAAGTGGGTTGGTTTATTAGTTAACAATTAGGCTGGGCTAAATTTCAATTGGGCTGATTTATTTGTATCAATTGAGTTTGGGCTTAATTTCAATTGGGTTGGATTATTTGTATTGCTTGGGCTTGGGCTTGTTTAAGGTTTTAACTGTGATTTAGGCCCAAATTTGTGAAATGGGCTCATTTATTATTTTGTTATTCTGATTTTGTATTATTATTAAAAAAAAAAGTCAAAAAAAAAGAGAGAAAAAAAAAGAAAAAAAAAAGAAAAGAAAAGAGCAAAAAAAAAAAAAAAAAAAAAGGAATCGGGAATTTTAAATTTTTTGACATCTTTTGTATCTTGAATTTTAAATTTTCTGACATCATTTACAGGTTCATTTTAGTTGACTGTTCAGTACCGCACCTCGACGAGCACGGACTTTTCTATCTTGGCATCTCAGGGCTTAGTAGTTCAGAATGTGGAGACATTCGACGCTGGGATGACTCAAACCAACAGTACTCAGGGAGTTCCTGATCCTATTTATTTTTAGTTGACGCTATTTCTTTATTTTAGAATTGCATCAATTAATTCGTTGTGTGCTGGCCATTTGATAATATTGCCTTCAACCTATTTAATTGTATTCCACGAACTAAATTCCATTGATGTGTACTAGCCCTTTGATAATACTGCCTTAAACCTATTCGATTATATTTCACGAACTAAATTCCATTACTCAATCGTTTACCCCACGTGACTAGACCTAGTATTTGGACATTTGCTTTTCTATTTTATTAGCATTAGTAGTATTAGCTTGCGATCGAGCCATGAGTAACCCCAAACTTTAAATTGACAAAATAAATAAATAAATAAATAATAATACTAATAATTTCAATAACTAATTCTTCGGTTGGCACTAGTTGATTGTTGATTATTGATCTCAGTAGTGCACTTTACGTAGTCGTGTTACCGTGTATGCAATTGCGTAGTGGTCGCGTTACTGCCTCTAGCTCTAGTAACCTTACCATGGACCCCGCCCAAATTGAGGCCCTCATCAGACAGCTTGCACAATTACAAAATCAACTAACAGCTGTCCAAACTGAGGTAACCGCTACTCGTGAAGAGAATAGAGCCCTAACCGCTAGGTTGAATACTCTTGACCCAATCCCATATTCGACCGAGGCTGAGAACTCTGAGGCTTCCATTAATAGGCCTCATCGTCGCCCACAAGGTGGTCGACACCACGCCCGACATGGTCGTAGGGAAGGGAATCAGGCTCGGGAACGAGAGCGGGGATATTACCGTCATGGTACACAATCTCCCCCTCGCCACGAGGAGCGCCTCTTTCCAAACATTAAGTTGGATGCCCCTACGTTTGACGGTTGTCTAGATCCTAGTGCATTCAATCAATGGGTTAGAGATATGGATCGCTTCTTTGCATGGTATGGGGTCCCGGAAGATCGGAGGGTACAATTTGCCAGTTTGAAGTTAACTGGCACTGCTCAACTCTTTTGGGAGAGTGTTGAGGACCTCCTTGAAAGGCGTCATGCTTCCCCTGTTGGGAGCTGGGATGAAATGAAGCGCCGCCTTCAAGAAAAATATTTACCCCAATCTTATAGGGGTAACTTGTTGGATCAATGGAACGCACTTACACAAGGCAATCGACCTGTGACCGAATATGTTGCTCAGTTTGATGAGTTTCGAATGAAATGTCAGGTTGTTGAGGATGAAGTTATGACTTTGAGTAGGTTTCGGCAAGGTTTAAGAGACGAACTTAGGCGCGAGCTTGTCCTTAGGGGTGTCACCACTCTCGACCACGCCTACTCTTTCGTTCAGGACTATGAATTAGTGACTAGGACACCGTATAGAAATCGTAGTGACTCCCGCGCTACAACCTCATCTGCATCCACGCCATCCCTTAAGTCTATTCTAGGTCCTCCTCCCTCTAATACTACCCCTGCATCGGATAGCAAAGGTAGAGGTTCTGAGGTTTCAAGGACATCTTCCCGTTTGCAATGCTTCAACTGTAAGGGTTTTGGTCACATTGCTTCTAAGTGCCCTAGCCGAGCCCTAGTTCTGGACGAACGTGAGGATATAGTCGTCGAACCACTAGAGGATCAGGTTTATGAGCCTAAGTTAGAAGAGTTTGAAGACTTGGAGGATAGTGAGGATACCTTCTTAGGTTGTATTCAGGCTAGTCCCATTATCCCACATACACCCAGAGTCGGCGTCGTCCGTTGCACCCTCACCCAGCCTAAGGATATCGACGATTAGCGCCGTCATGCCATCTTCCACACCTACATCAAGGTTAATAACAAGGGCTGTAAAGTTATCGTGGATAGTGGCAGCTGTATTAATACGGTTTCGAAGGCTACTATATCCCGTCTAGGGTTGAAGCCAGTTCCTCACCCCCAACCTTATAGTGTCTCTTGGGTTGACACCTCCTCTATAGCTGTTAAGAAGCGTTATTTAGTCCCTATCCAGTTCCTGGAGTATAAGGACCATATATGGTGTGACGTTATTTCGATGGACGTCGGGCACATCATCTTAGGACGACCTTGGCTATTTGACCTAGATGTAACCATATATGGTCGTTCCAATTCCTGCTCCTTCGTGTTTAATGGAAAGAAGATTCACCTTAACCCACTACCCCCAAAGCCGGCTGGCTCACTAGAAGCGAAGAAAAGTGTGGAACAAAAGGGGTTGCATATCATTAGTCCTACAGAGTTTGAGCGTACAATTGTTGGTGACTCAATTGTGTTCGCCTTAGTAGTCATGGAGGTTTCATCTAACTCCACAAGTGAGGATACTGCGGAAGCCCAATCGATCCTTCAGGAGTTTCGAGATGTCTTTCCGGAGGACCTACCTGATCATCTACCCCCGCTAAGAGATATTCAACATGCCATAGATTTCGTCCCCGGTGCATCCCTTCCAAATTTACCACATTATAGGATGAATCCTACCGAGCACGCTGAGCTCCAAAGGCAAGTGGATGACCTTCTCAACAAAGGATTAATTCGTGAGAGTTTAAGCCCATGTGCTGTCCCCGCCCTATTGACGCCCAAAAAGGATGGATCTTGGAGAATGTGTGTGGATAGTCGCGCTATCAATAGGATCACAGTGAAGTATCGTTTTCCCATTCCCAGGCTTGATGATATGCTGGATATGATGGTTGGCGCGACAATCTTTTCAAAGATCGATCTAAAGAGTGGGTACCATCAAATTAGAATTCGCCCAGGGGACGAGTGGAAGACCGCGTTTAAGACGAAAGATGGCCTTTATGAATGGCTGGTCATGCCTTTTAGGCTAAGTAATGCGCCGAGTACCTTCATGCGGGTAATGACACAAACTCTTCGGCAGTTCATGGGTAAATTTCTTGTTGTCTACTTTGATGATATCCTCATCTATAGTAAAACTAAGGAGCAACACCGTGACCACCTCAAACAAGTTTGCTCCACCCTTCGCGAGACTAACCTGTATGCTAATGTCAAGAAATGTTCCTTTTTCACCGATAGCGTAGTTTTTTTGGGGTTCATTGTCTCGTCGACCGGGGTGTCTGCTGACCCTACTAAGATTCAGGCGATAATTGACTGGCCTGAGCCTAAGACCATTCATGATGTCAGGAGCTTTCACGGCTTAGCTACGTTTTACCGCCGTTTTATTAAAGGGTTTAGCACTATTATGGCGCCTATCACGGAGTGCATGAAGAAAGGGAAGTTCCATTGGACACAAGAGGCGACTAAGGCCTTTAAGTTAGTCAAGAAGCGAATGATAGAGGCTCCTGTCATGCGTCTTCCAGACTTTTCCAAAGTCTTTGAAGTTGAATGTGACGCTTCTGGGGTAGGTATAGGCGGAGTCTTAAGTCAGGATCGTCACCCTGTCGCCTATTTCAGCAAAAAGTTAAATGAGGCCAAACGACGATATTCAACGTATGATAAGGAACTGTATGCGGTGGTCCAAGCTTTGCGCTATTGGCGCCACTACTTGTTGCCTCAAGAATTTGTCCTTTATTCGGACCACGAAGCCCTCCGTTACCTCAACTCTCAGAAGAGGTTAAGTTCTAGGCATGGACGTTGGGTTGAATATTTGCAGGCCTATTCTTTTGTTTTAAAACACAAGAAGGGCGTGGAGAACCAAGCAGCTGACGCGTTAAGTCGTCGTGTCTCTCTTTTGTCGATCATGAGTGTCAAAGTCATTGGTTTTGAAAGGCTTAAGGAGGAT